GTTGTTTATTATTAGCAATGTTCTTCCGACGTCTAATTTCTTTTTAAAAAATGTGTTTCTAGAGTGCATAAACTTCTGGAATTGACTGTATAGCCAATACATCCTTAAATAAAATATTTCTCGACTTATTTTCAGATGGCAAGTATGCGTGTATAATATGAAAATGAAAAACGCGATTTCTTATATGTTCGTTAAGAGATACATCACGGACCACGTTATACACGAGGTAAGAATTACTGCGTCGAATCTCGTAAGCGGACAGACACCGAAAACTTCAGTTTATTTTATTCGTTTCCGTTCAAGGCAACGAGGATGGTAAAAAGAATCAAGGACGAGTTGAGGCATCGCATAGAACAAGCTCACTGGCTACCGAGTTCCATGAAAATGACGCTCTTGCAAAAGATAAATAATCTAGAGGCACAAGTTGGATACCCGGAGTGGTATAAAAACGACCATGCTATTATTCAATACTACGACGGGGTACTGATCTGAAAATAATCGGAAAAAAAATTTACGAATCGAAAATTAATCCGTTCGAATTCCGCAGCTGCATATAGGCACCGACTACTTCCAGAATGTTTTAAATTGCGAGCAAAGCGAATTGATAAAAAGTCTGATAGAATTCAGGGACGTCGTTGTCCGAGATCAGTAAGTTTTTTCTTCAGATTGAATTACCTAAGAATTTAATGAATAACGTTGCATCATCTTCCAGATGGCTAGATTATCCTATAACGGTTAACGCGTTCTATGCTCAAACAGTCAATACGATACGTGAGTATCCTACTAATTATAGTTCGCTTGTAACGAGATCTTTATATTCTAACGTAATTTTTCAGTCATACCAGCAGCGGAACTACAAGACCCTTTCTTCTCACCGCATTTACCTGAGTAAGCGCTGTCGTGTATTTTACTTCATTTAATTATTACTTTTGTTTTTTGAATTCATTTCTCGGCACAGCGCTGTCAATTACGGGACCACCGGATTCGTGATCGGGCACGAGCTGTCTCACAGTTTTGACAACGAAGGTAAAATATTTATGGAAACACTATTCGAAACGCTCATCTACTACTGTGTGCGTTATCAATTTTGTTCAGGTATACAGTTTGATAAGAACGGTTATAAGATTTCCTGGCCTTCCCGATTCGCGTCGACCGAATACGAGGAACGATCGATGTGTTTCGTCGATCAATATGGGAATTATACGCTCGATATTAGGGACGACAAAGGAAAACATATTAGGGTAGGACTTGGATATAGCGTTAATAATAAAAATGGATAATGGGAAAATAAATACGATTGCTTACTGCTAGCTGGATGGGAACTTGACCGAGGATGAGAACATGGCAGACTCGATGGGTGTCCAGATTGCTTATTCAGCGTACAAAAAAGCGGCGAAACAAAAGCATCAGGCGAAACTACCGGGCCTGGAGTATATTTCCAATGACGAACTTTTCTTCTTATCGTTTGCAAATGTAAGTTAATTTTCTTCAAATGAATTCCACCAATATTGGCAGTCAACATAGCTGCACGTTTTTATAGGCATGTTAGTAGACGATTCCCCGTGTTAATTGTATCGACAAATATTCGCGTGTATTTTGTTCACTTAATTATCACAGCTTTATTTAATAGTCCTGGTGCTCATCAACGAGACCGGAATACGAGGCGGATGTAATCAACACTGACGAGCACAGCCCTGCCAAGTATCGAATCATCGGTTCTCTTTCTAACATGCCTTCGTTCGCCAAAACTTTCAAATGCTCACGGAGCAGCTCCATGAATCGGCGGCACAAGTGTACTTTGTGGAATTAGGCGTACGATACAAATGTAATTATTAACGTGTAGTGTAGTATCGAGTTATGTCGAGTACTTGTACTTTTTTTTTATCATTTCTATGCGTAAAGGGAACGTCGTTTTTAATTAACACGTATTGAAAATACTTCTTCTCGGCATCAATATTCATCAGGCTGGCTGATCATTTTCATTAACGTACTTTTGTATAATTGTATTGCACTGAAAAAATATACACTTGATTTAAAACGATGTATTATTTGTTGTTGGAAAGAGGAATCCTGTTACACTTACGTAATCCACAAAAAGTATTCTGCCTGGCCGGCGGCTGGCTGATCAGTCGAGCCGTATTAAAGGATGTATTGGCTATACAATCAATCCCAAAAGTTTATGTACTTCAGAAAAACGCATTTCCTATAGTTAAAAAGAAATCAGACGTCGGAAGAACAATGCTAATAATAAATAGCTACGTACTAAAAAGCATAGAAGGAAATATTCAATTAATTATTGACGCTGGCAAAAAGATTTCCATACAGAAATTTTAGGCACTGACATCCTCTACAAGAAAGATTCTATACATTTGTCTTCTAACACCAGTATTTAACGAGTTAAGTGCAGTTAATTGGCATTTTATTGGCAATGACGAAATTCGACCGTCGAATCCAGCAAACATTGGACAATAAATTTCGTTTTCCGTCAATGACTCCCGAACGGATGGTCGTAGGTGGACGCTTGTGGGCTCATTTTGTAGGGGACGATGAGATCTACAATCCCTGTATAACAGTTTCTCGCTAGCATCAATAGTTCACGAGTAATTTGCAAAAAACTGTTTTTCGTTTTTTGCAAATAACTCGTTAACCATTGACACTAGCGAATTCTTTTTGCACAGGAATTGTAGATCTCGTCGTCCCCTACAAAATGGTTCTAAATACGCCCCCCTACGTCCATCCGTTCGGGAGTTATTGAGGAAAAACGAAAAGTCTTTTTAAAAGTTCGCTATTTCGACGGGCGAATTCGCCTTCAGAATCTGCAATTCGCCCGTCGAAATAGCGAACTTTTAAAAAGACTTTTCGTTTTTCCTCAATAACTCCCGAACGGATGGACGTAGGGGGGCGTATTTAGAACCATTTTGTAGGGGACGACGAGATCTACAATTCCTGTGCAAAAAGAATTCGCTAGTGTCAATGGTTAACGAGTTATTTGCAAAAAACTGTTTTTCTGTTTTTTGCCAATAACTCCCAAACGGATGGACTTAGGGAGACGTTTATGGTTCCATTTTGTAGAGGACGACGTGATCTACAATCTCTATGTAACAGTTTCTCGCTAGCATCAGTAGTTTACGAGTAATTTGCAAAAAACTGTTTTTCGTTTTTTGCAAATAACTCGGTAACTATCGGCACTAGCGAATTCTTTTTGCACAGGAATTGTAGATCTCGTCGTCCCTTACAAAATGGTTCTAAATACGCCCCCCTACGTCCATCCGTTCGGGAGTTATTGAGGAAAAACGAAAAGTCTTTTTAAAAGTTCACAGATTCGACGGGCGAATTGCAGAATCTGAAGGCGAATTCGCCCGTCGAATCTGTGCGCTTTTAAAAAGACTTTTCGTTTTTCCTCAATAACTCCCGAACGGATGGACGTAGGGGGGCGTATTTAGAACCATTTTGTAAGGGACGACGAGATCTACAATTCCTGTGCAAAAAGAATTCGCTAGTGCCGATAGTTACCGAGTTATTTGCAAAAAACGAAAAACAGTTTTTTGCAAATTACTCGTAAACTACTGATGCTAGCGAGAAACTGTTACATAGAGATTGTAGATCACGTCGTCCTCTACAAAATGGAACCATAAACGTCTCCCTAAGTCCATCCGTTTGGGAGTTATTGGCAAAAAACAGAAAAACAGTTTTTTGCAAATAACTCGTTAACCATTGACACTAGCGAATTCTTTTTGCACAGGAATTGTAGATCTCGTCGTCCCTTACAAAATGGTTCTAAATACGCCCCCCTACGTCCATCCGTTCGGGAGTTATTGAGGAAAAACGAAAAGTCTTTTTAAAAGTTCGCTATTTCGACGGGCGAATTGCAGATTCTGAAGGCGAATTCGCCCGTCGAAATAGC